GGGCTTAGGGAACAGGGATTCGAGTCGAAGGTTAGTGTTTGCACGTAAATGTATGGGGTTCTTCAAAACAGCTCCGGGTCATCTTGATCCGTTTGAACACGGACCCGAGCTGTTCGTGTCTATATGAGGGATCTCAGGGAAACGTATAGTGGTAGTTGTTGGGAACTTGATTTCTTGAACTCTCCAGGTCAAGGGTCTAGAGTTTGGGGATTAGGGTTCAGGTTTTTGGAGGCTCAAGGAACTTTCGAAACCTGAAGCCGAAATCTTTCAGAGAGAGCTCAAGGGTGGAAATCTGGGGTTTGGGACTCAAACATCCAAAATTTTAGTGTCTGCGAGTCAGGATCTAGAGTTCAAGATCAGTTCTGAAAGCCTATAGGTCAAGCAAAAGGAACCCTAAAGTCCAGAGATTCTACGGCTACCGTGCCTCGATAGTGTAGGCATCGCAATAGCCAGGCCCTGGTGGGGTGTATCACATCGGGCTCAAGCTTCATTCTCTGGGGTCTAGGGCCTAGGGTCTCTAAGGCTTGCGGCCCTGGGTCTCGGGCTTCGGGTCTACGGCTGAGGGCTGGTTAAGGATTTAGGAGTCTAAGGGAGCAGGGTTTAGATTGGTGTGAGCTGTAGAGCCACTGCCCAAAGCCCAAAGCCACTCCAAAGCCTGTGGCAGCTAGCAGGAAAATGGATATACGAACAGCCGAAGAGCAACACTCGCTGTTTAGCGTGCCTGAAAGTGAATCCGCATAGAACGGCCCGCAGCAAGGTTTCGACACCACCTAGCCCGACTCAGACCTCCTCTTCTGACCCTGAACCCTGAACGCAAACGCCCTAGACCCTGAACCTGAACCCTCTCAACTCGAACCCCTGTAAACCCTACACTGTGAGCTACTATAACCTTTTTGCGACCAAAACAACCGATCTGCTCCAATCCAAAACCAACTGAGACCCCAAAAGTGACCGAAGGTCGGGTACTTTGCCAGCTTCACGCGGCCTGTGCCGCGTTTCACATTGCCAACCTCGGAAGCGAACTCTACTTTCAATTTAAGGTCATAGGGTCTAGGGTCTGCATCAGGGAATTCGGGTGCAGAGTTCAGGTGTTTTGAGATTTCAATAAGAAGGATCCCTCTGTAACTTAGCATTCATTTCCTTTCCTAAGCGGCTTTGGAGTCTCTCGGCTTAGAGGGTTTGGAGCTTAGGGTTCTGGGTCTAGCTTTTTATTGGCTCAGGGTGCAGGGTCGAGGGCCTCAAGGTTGCGCAGTCTCTTAGAGGCCGACACCAAACGGCTTATGAGTTGAGAAAGTGTTTCTTACTGGGCGCACAAGCTACGCCCCATATTGGACTCGCATAGGGTTGACTCCGGGTGGACGGCTCAGGCTTTGGTTCGCAGGGGCAGTATGCAGGATTTTGGTTCGAGGCTTCGTGCTGTGGGTGGCTGTGTCTCTCTGCTGTAGTTCTTGTGTTGTCATTGTTTTTGCTGCGGCTGCGGTGAGTGGTGGTCCAAACCCCCAAGTTTTGAACCTGAAGCCCCAAACACCAAGCCTAAACAGACGGTCCTTTTCTACTCAGCACACATACCAACATATTCAGCATGATCCCTGCGAGTGACAGCTAGATAGCGTTGGTGATGACGCTAGTCAAAGATCCGAACCTTCGTTTCTTGGACCCACGACGTTTGCCCTCCAGGACCTTCACTGGATGTATCCGAAGCTCGTTCGATGGGTGATTCAAACTGCAGCTTCCTCGCTACTGACTAATCCTGTCAACAGTTTGGGGGTTCATAATTCACAACGCTCTTTCTGGGAGTAGGGTCTGTAAAAGGGCTCTGAACACAGTCCAGCTCAAACCCTGCTCTCTGCACAAACGAAGCATGAGTTCAAGAAGTTCGAACTACAGCTCTTCATCCTTATGGGTCGTAGCGTCGTCGTAGCAGTGCTATCTATCGTTTGAGTGGCCAATCACGGTTTCTGTTTCTGAGGCTCCAAAACCAAATCCAAAACTCTTCGACATGCAAGGCCGGTGGCAACCCATTTTCGCGTTTTTTCCCTACGCACACATGGGATTCCCGAGGCAAAGATCGACCGTTTAGCTATCCTCGTGCCTGACATGGAACCTGGCATCCTTGCAGTGACAGTCATTCACAATGGGCACTCTACCCCCAAGCCCAAACCCCAACGATAAATCCTAGCCTGACATCCAAGGCCCCAAATCCAACATCCGAAACTTTACTGCGTTTCTGAGGAAGCGAACCTCTGCAAACTAGCAGGCACAGGCAGGGAGGGAATCTTTCCTGCTGTCGGGTTTAAAGGCTTTGGGATTTGGAGCGGTTTGGGCTTTGGTGTTCAGCTCGGAGATGTGGGTTGAGATTTGGGGCTCACTGAATCCGGGGCTTATAGGGATTCGGGGTCGCTGTACGTTGTGCTTATGAGGGCCTGTCGGCCAAAAGCCCGAAACACCCAAGGCCTCTCTATGAACACTAAGCCAAACTCTAAACCCTAAACCCTGATCTATTTATTCGGGCCTCTCTTAGGTGGCGGCTTCGATGCTGGGACCTGCCTGCCGCCTTTCGGGAGTCGGATCTCGGAACCAGGACTTTGAGGCTTTAGGGTTTACTCGGCATGTACCTGGTTTTTCAATGTGGTTGAAACACGCTGTTCTAGGAATTGTGAAGAACAGAAGGCAGTTTACGTTGGAAGGGCATAAAAACATCCCGAAACCGCAGCACCCGAACCACCCACAATCACTCTGAGCGTCATTCCACTTTGAACGGAAAGCTCTACTTCCCACACCCGCAGCAGAAATCAAGCATCCATTCTTATCTCCAAATCCCGAATCCCTTAGCACCCCCAAACCCGTTGAAGCCGCCGGCAAGTCCTGGTATGTACGTAGCTGTCCGCAGCCGGGAGCCGACCCAGGGCCAATCTCAAGCCATGTAAAGCTCCCATGATGTGATGCCTCTGCGGCTATTTAGTTCTCTAAAACATCTCAAGCCATGAAGTAAACCCTCTCAGAAACCTTTGCCGCCCCGAGGCCGCTCCTGCAGCGGATACCCTTGTCGGATTCCGGAACCAGATATTGAAAACTCCCGGCCCCACTTCGAGCCGAAGACATGTAGGGAATCTAGGGTTGAGGGCTTGGAATTTAGGGTTCAGTAGCGAAGTGGTGTCGTGACAAGTGTGAACACGGAGCCTGATGAACCAGAGCTTCCCTGCCAGTGTTTTTGGATTGATTTCTCAACCCCTTATCCGCATTCACATGTCCAAGTCCGGAATTTGGACATGAATGGAGCTTGACGCAGGCGGAGGGGGGCATCTCGATCTGCATTCGTGACGACGCCACTGTGTGATTCGTTTCTCAAGCACTTTATCACATCCTTGTGAGTTTCATCTCTTCTTCAAAGCAGGTTGGAATAAGTCAGCCCTCACGAGGCTAGCCAAGCTTTAAGGAAAGCCACACGAGAACTTCAGACCTTTTGCAGTAGCTAGACCTGCTGCAGTACACTACCAAAGCAACCCGATCGCGAGGTATTGTAAGCTTCAGTGCGTTCCGTAGTTATCGCCTTCCAGGGCAAGTGGAACGTGTCTGGGGATGAAGGAGCTCTTGAGAGTGAGGGTGCTTTTAAACGATGCTTCAGAGATTAGGAGCGCGCTTATTTGGAGATTGGGAGTGCGTCCTTAGGAAAACCCGTTTCAGCTCAAATTGTTAAGGGTATCAGCTTCGCTGGCTTTTCCCACGCTCAGCGGACCCTACACGGTAAACCTCACGATCCGAAACCAAATCCACGTTTACCATGTCCGCCAATATGACGAATTTTCTCCATCTTGCTGAGGCAGGGAAAATGTGGGACAGGTCGCAAGCGGACCGATCGCAGCAATCGCTGATAGCAGCGCATACGATCTTCATCCGAAGTCTTGATACTGGAACTGAATGGACATCCTCTCCGCCCGAATGCCACCAACTGATTGGTATTTCGTTGCTGATGCATGTTGTTGCCGCAAAGAGAAAGGTTCGAGCATTCCGTCAAGCACAAAGGATGGAAAAACTCTTTGCACCGGCATGAGTGCCGTTGACAAAACTGTACGGCCCTTAAGCGGGCGCCTTGTTGCAGGACACCGACGTCAAAGCTTTCGAACTGGTTGCAATACTTGCAAATTCGAATTTGCGATCCGCTTTCGTTAGGGGAGGTAGAATGCATTGGGGTCCTTCCTGGCCGATGCTCACTCAGAACCTGTCTAAACCCTCCATCCAACGCTGAATTCTATACTGTGTCGCAAGTGTAGGCTGCTGCTTAGCTATTCATGGTTTGTGAAGTTGTACGCCGGACGCTGGAGAAGCAAGGCATCTGCATGACAGGGAACCGAATGTGACACCACAGCGATTCAAACTTATCGCAAATGGATGTTGTCTTTGTAGGCCCAAAATCCTCTTGGTAGAGTTGCCAGTCGCAACGTGCCATCATAACTCTTCCTCGAATGAAACAGTAAAGGGTATTGAGCCTGCAAAAACAAGGCGAGTAAAACACACAGACGGACAGTACCCCTTCCGACCATCGCCAAGCTCGAAACACGTGAACAAACTCAAGCACTCGCACAAAAACCTCAGATATGATGACAAGTGCAGTCCAACCTCAGACCTAGTCTTCCCTGTGACATTGGCCGACGCGCGATGGGGCTATATAAAGTAATGCTAAAGAGTGGTCCTTCGAATGAGACTTTGGGATGCAGTTAAACCGCAGATTGCGAACGAGACAGATACGATGTTGACATGCACGCATCCCAAAAACTCTTCGTTGAACTTGCAAAAAGTTGAAGTGCTGGAGCGACAGAACATCGACATGATTCGCTCCGTCCGTCCTGCAGCGCACTTGGCAGTCATTCAGAGGTTTCCCAAACCCTCGGATCTCAAGCACGCACGAGCCTCTAGTACCCTGTCTGAAATCGCCTCAAATACTCACCTGGCTGGATATACTCTAGGAACCTCCCAGCGCCCGCCCAAACCCTCGTCCTGCTTCAGCTTGGGGCAACAGAGCTGAGACGAGGGCGTCGGGGTTTCACACTCCGCGACCCCTCCAACGGCTCCGAGCCAGTGCAGAGAGGAAGATCTGTCAACTTGTCATCGCACATATCAACCTTGCAACGGCTGAAGGCGAAGGGGCGTGCGACACTGCTTACATGCTGGTGCATGAGTTGTGGGCGGAGCAAGTACAGGGACTTAGTGCCAAAGGAGACTCCAAACCAGTGAACAACCGAGAAACACAGTTGTTGATGACCTGGGCATAGTTCCGTGCGTACTGAAGGACATCCGCTATCGCACGCGGATGTGCCCGCATAGTTTCTGTCCTCAGTTTCCATTCGAGCAAAGTTTATTGAAAGCTTTGAAAGACCAGTTGCTGCGCTCGCGACCTCATGTTTCGAGTTGCCCGAGCGACAATCCGAACTGTGTGCATGTAGCTGGCATCCCATCATTCGGCAGTGTTTTATGGGATCCAAACAGCTTATGCCCGAAGCCCGCCACGATTTTGCAAAGTATCAACTCGCTTGAGAGCAATGTCATCATCCATCCGTCCGCGGTCGCCTGAAGTCTGCCACGATGAGTCCAGCCTGCCAAGAAAGAAATCACTGTCTTTCAGTTCTGGAGTAGACTGATGCTGTCCGGTCCAGGCGTGCCATGCAAAGGATCGAAAGCGAAGCTGTCGTCTCAAGGGTCCCGAGATGAATGCTCTTCTCAGGGAATTACTTTCGGACACTGTGCAATTGCTGCGTGTCATGGTCCCCAACTCGCAAGCAGTCCCTTCAAAGCAAAATGCTTCTCAACCATCAGCTTCTGTTGAGAGTTTCAGGAAATTCAGCGAACCCGCAACTGCCTTGAGCGAAAGCTTCGCGCCAACACTAAACCACAAAATGTTATGCGTGGGATCAGTGGAAAATGACTTTATTTGCATTAGGTCCCGTAAAGGCATTCGCGCAAGCGTCTCTTGTCAACAGCAACTTTCCCGATGCCTGTGCAACAAGTGTACCACTCCATACCGAAAGGTCTCGGGCCAGCAATGCCAAGGGTTTCAGGATGCAATTGTACGAGGGTTAGGGATTGGGATGTTACGTGGAACCTGCTACTTTACACCAAGAGCTGGGGTTTCCGCAACGATGGCCTTGGGTTCTTTGCAAGAGTGACGTATCAACCTGAAGTCAACTTGCAATAATGCTGTAATATACTACAAACAAACTCTCTTCTGACAAAGTTGAGGCTCGCAGAGATATTAGCTAAACCGCAATTTCAGGCTCCCAGCCTGCGACCCAAAGCGCATGCTCACTCAGGTACTCACCCATGCTCATTCTGGTGACATCCTCTTGGATTTCTGTCTCCTGCTTATTCCCCATACAGCGGTGCAAACAGCAGCACCTCTCTGCGATTTGGGCAACTGAGCCTGGATTTGTTCCATAACGCGGCATCACTGGCATGCTCTGGACGGTGTAGGCACAAAGAGCAGTCGTCACGATGTGCATCCCGTTTGCAGCTTCTCTGGGATTGAAAATGCAGTCGTGGCGCAGTCTGTACTGCTCCGTCATGGCTTTGCAGCAAATGCTGAACTCCAGGAATGCATCTGCCGTGCATAGGCCCCACAGGAATTGATGGTATTCCAAGAAATGCTTTCGTGATTCATGAAAGAGGTTCTCAAGCATCTCCTTCGGGAAAGTATCCAATAGTGCTGAATGGGCCTCCTGTGCTGTCTTTCGGAGATGCTCGCGTTCCACGTACTTGCGCATGCTCAGCACATACGCGAAGTCGACCCTATGTGCTGCACAATAATCTCGCACCGATTGGAGCACCTGCTTCCTTCGCTGTCTGTTTTTTTGCCAGGCTGCCATAACGTTCGTCATTTTGCTGACAAAGACGGAAGACAAGGCCAGTGCCTTCGGTGACTTCGGACATTTCGTGCGCAAAATGGTGCACTCTGTTCGGTTCAGTGTTCGTTAGAAACCAACGGAAAGTGTTTCATGTGCTGCGAAAGGGTGAGTTCTGACATAGACGCTGCTAAAAACAGCAAGTTGCCATGAAGGTCGCGAAGATGGCCAATCCGCGTTCGCCATCCGTTTGCAACTCCATATTCCAGCGCATAGCCGAAGCGGGAAGTCTTGAGAGCGCAAGCTGTAACGACGCCCCATACTTGCTGGCCAACGAAGAGCCAAGTAGTCCTGGGTAAGGCAGCACATGGTAGCACCATCACATGCACGGAGCTGACGTTTTCAGTAGATCGTGCCTACAGAACACGGACAGCTTCATCTTCTTCCCCAGAGTCCTTCGTCAGCCACCCAACCATCGGGGACGTTGCCCATGAAGTACCAAAGACATGCAAGCACGTGCCTCGCATGAGAAAACTTAACTTGTAAGGGCGCAGCGCAGTCTCGACTTCTTGATCCGTTCTCGAGAATGCAGGTGTTCTCGTCAACCAGGCAAAGGACATGTTTGGGAAGCTGACGCTTGCAGCTTGCCCATCCGAGATATCATGGAATGCAGGTTGCCATTTCGGTTTCATGGTAGGGGCTCGGAGCTTTGCAGTGCTTTAGACGGTTGCTGGGGTAGCGGGAAGCCAGTCACAAGTGCAACAAAATCGCATGATCCCGCGCAAGATGCAGTTTTACTGCGCCCTCAAGAGGAACGAAACACAGCAGGAATGAATATATGCAAACCCTGTGAGCGTCTGAACTCAAACTTCAGCTTCGTGAGACCGTCCGCACCAAGGGCACCGTGCAGCCCATCATGCATCCTCCAAACTTCGGCTGCGAGGTGCCCCATGTACATCGCCAGTAGCAGATACTTTCCCACGTCGAGGGCATGCTGTAAGGATGTGCCTGCAGCAAAGAGGGGAATGCACGCGGCTTCGATTTTCGGGTTGTCAGCCTTGCAATCACGACAACGACCCTGACCACAAGATGGACATGCAGGGATTTTCAAATGAGAAGAAATAGGACCAATAACAACGTACAGTGACAGTGTACAGGGAATCAGTAGCACAAGCTGCACCAACATAAGTACAGCGAACATGCGACACCTATTCTACTGCTACTGCTGGTGGTGTTGTGCCGGCAGTGGTAGTAGTAGTTTTTGTAGCAGCAGTAGTTGTAGAAGTAGTAGTACTAGACTAGAAGAAGTAGTAGTAGAAGTAATACGAGTAGTAAGAAAAAGCAGTATAAGAAGGAGTAGTAGTGGGAGTAGTAGTAGTAGTAGTAGAAGTAGAAGGACAAGTAGAAGCAGAAGTAGTAGTCGTGGTGGTGGTGGTAGTTGTGTACTACTAGCAGAAATACAAGAACACGTGGTAGCAGCAATAATACCAACCATAGAAGAAGCAATAATAACAGTAGTAAACACAGCTGCAGTAGCAGCCGAAGTCGGAGCCGTAGCAGCAGTAGTCGCCGCCGTGGTGATAGTAGTACTAGCAGTAGTAGTAGTAGTAGTAGTAGTAGTAGTAGTAGCAGTCGTAGTAGTAACAGGAGCAGCGGCAGTAGTAGTAGTAGTAGTAGTAGTAGCAGTAGCAGTGGAAGTAGCAGTAGAAGTAGAAGTGGCGGCAGCATTGATCGAAGTGGTAGTAGTAGTAGTAGTAGTAGTAGTAGTAGTAGTAGTAGTAGTAGTAGTAGTAGTAGTGCAGTAGTAGTAGTCGTAGTGGTAGTAGCAGTAGTAGCAGTAGTTGTAGTAGTAGCAGTAGCAGTAGCAGTAGCAGTAGGAGTAGTAGTAGTAGTAGTAGGAGGAGGACTCGTAGGACTAGTAGGACTAGTAGTAGGCCTCGTAGTTGCAGAAGCAGTAGCACAAGAAGCAGTGGTGGTGGTAGTAGTGCTAGCAGTAGTAGTAGTAGTAGTCGTAGTCGTAGTAGTGGTAGTAGTAGTAGTGGTAGTTGTTGTTGTCGTTGTAGTATTTGTTGTTGTAGCAGTAGCAGTAGCAGCAGCAGTAGTAGTAGTAGGAGTAGGAGTAGGACTAGGAGTAGGCCTCGTAGTTGCAGAAGCAGTAGCACCAGAAGCAGTGGTGGTGGTGGTAGTAGTATTAGTAGTACTGGCAGTAGTAGCAGTAGCAGCAGTAGCAGTAGCAGTAGTAGTAGTGGTAGTAGTAGTAGTAGCAGTAGCAGTAGCAGTAGCAGTAGCAGTAGGAGTAGGAGTAGTAGTAGTAGCAGTAGTAGTAGTAGTAGTACTGGTAGTACTAGTAGTACTAGGAGTTGGTAGGAGTCACAACAGCAACCACAAGCACGACCACGACGCCGTCACCGTCACCACCAACACTATCAACAATGGCCGCAACAACAACTGCAACCACAACAACCGATAACGACAACGAGGACGACAACAACATTCATTCACACGCAGCGGGAGGATACTGTCTGAGGTGAAACTTAACGTCCACGCTTTGCGAGGGATCGACCTGCTGCTCTGCTTGCTACTTGCGCGGTCACTTCATGACGAGCCGTGCCTTAACACAGCACTCGCACACGCTCCGCCCCTCAAGGCTGCAAGCAATGAAGTCGGAATCGGACGTGTCTTCAGTGACTCGAGCTGCAGACTCTGGCACTAATGAAGTAGTTAACCGGCTGATTTGCAATGTATCGCTGACTGATTGGCGACGTCCATTTTGCACACTGCTGTCTCGCGAGAGTGTCTAGCCTCGCTGTGAAGGCTCGGTACGAACCACTAGCTCTATGTTATAGTAGAGGCGGTGAGGCAATGAAACACTCAGTAAAGGCAGGCCAGGCGCCATTTCCAGCCCGTTGTTGCTATTTGTAGATGGCGGAGCAACTCCTGCCGGACTTGTGCTGGTGACATGAAGCTCTCCTGTCCCTGGATGGGAGATCGTTGAGGTCACAGCCTTTGGCGGTGGTCCCAGGGGAGAAACTCCTCCCGGGACTCCACCTTTCACTGGCACTCCAGGTGCCTTACCTGGGCCCGGTGTCCGATCTGTGCTAGATCCACTTCCTGACAGGTTAACAGGCATCGGAGGCGGCGGGCCCTTAGGCCCAGCTGCTTTAGGGGCTGCTTTAGGGGCTGCTGTGTCTTCGGAGTCGGACTCCCGAATGGCGTCACTGGCTGGCGGCGACCTGGATAGGTGGGGCCGACGTCGCACTGGAGGAGGGGTTCGGGAGGTCGCTCTGCTGCCACTCTTCTTCGGTGTTTCAGGCATGGCTTCTACAGTCGAGACAGCTGGTGAGTTGAGCCTGTACGAGAAGGCAAGTAGAGCTTCCAGAAAACTTTTGGCTGACAACTCACTTGCAGATCCGGGCCCACGACTGCGCACGGAGCTTCACATGCGACCTCGGGGTATACTTGCTGTCTGGTGATGAAATTGAAGTGACCTTCAGCCTCATAACATAGATTTTTGCGTGAGCAGCTGCATTATCAGTGTGGGGAGGGACTCCACCATTAGGTGAGGGTCCTCACGATCAGAGCGGCCTGTTGTCGCCTCCGTACTTAGTACCTGATTTCAGGCTCTGGTAGTACTCTATGACAGAAGGGGGCACTTCAGAAGGGGTGAGAATGACGCCGTTCTTGCTACGGAAAAATTGCACCCCTACCTGCATGGCTCTGCGTGGATCGACCGCTACCAGCATCGACGAGCTATCTCTGAATCCAGAAACACCAGGTCTCCCATAGTCCCGATCCGAGACGAAGTGAACATGCTGTCGTCCCTCTCTGCCACGTCCGCCTTTGCCGCGGCCCTTGGAAATCTTGTTCTGAGGCAGAAGGCCTCGTTGGCGTATGGAGTCATACAAGGACCAGAATGTGCCATGATACAGCATTCTGGGGAGCATCTCCTCCGTGAGTTCCTCCAACACCTCATTGGAGTCCACATCAGAGCGAGAATGTCCTTGCAGAGCCCTGATGTACTTCTGGCCTTGGCAATCGCCCAGCTCGTACCTGCCTTTTGCGTTACTCCGAACGACCTCCATGAGGTCGCCTGCCGTGGCGTGCTGGGCCTGCACTCTTGGCCATCTCAGGACGTCCTCTAATTTGGCCCAACCAGCTGAAGTGACGCTGATGTAGGGTTTATGTCCGTGCCGGAGCGAAGCTGCTAGAGCCTTCGAGACTTCGAACGAGAAGCTGGTCTCCGGCTTCGTAGAGGCAGTGCAATAGTCCCCTAGATCGCCTGGTTGGCCCTCCCAGGCCACTATAGTGGAGCTACGTGGCGTTGTTGAGCTGTGGTCAATCTCTGACGCCATGGTCGGGGGAGAAACTCCACCCTGTGAGCTGGACGCCTGCTCACAAACCGGAAGGGGAGCAACTCCTCCTTCCTTGACTCCACTTGACGAGGCTTCGCCAGGCAGTTCGTATCCCAACGCCAAAAAGGATTCCCGTGCTTGTCTCAGTGGTATCTCCAACAAGCCACTCCACTCTCGGAGGTACTCACCTAAGGTGAGTGTCTCCTTGGTTGATATTTGCAGTAGCAGCGCTCGGATTTTGACTGCATCATAGGAGTATATCAGTTGGTTTGTTTTCTTACCACGTTTTTGCGATCCAGAGTGCGCAGCCTCCACCTCAAACATGGGCCGCACGAATATGTGCCGAGGTCCTATCCTCACCAGACAACTGTAACCGGCAGCAAGATGCCTGTTTGACATCTTGTGGAGATACACACCTGGTCGTGCCTCGAAGCTTCGCGTGCCGGAGAGGTCAGGTGTCGAAGGTAGTAGCCTGCCTGTGGCCAGTATCCCATGCAAACATTCCAGGTGTGTGCCGTGGAACGCAACCTCGCTGTCCCCTGCAGGAAGAATGTTCGGTGAAGAATACTCAAAACGAAACCACCCATTCTCCTCAGCTGTGGGATATCCAAGCTTCGGCTGCAGAGGCTCATTGGCAAGTCCCCGGCGAGAGGCCAGGAAGGTCTCCAGGAGAGCATTGGCTATCTCCGGGGAGGGTCGTTCCGCCTGATTGAGGCCATCTCGCAGCTGCTGAGTTACTGTCACCATAATTCGGTGATTGTTCAGGTCAGTGATGTTCCCATCACAGTCTGAAATCAGACTGGGAAAGGGCGTATAACCAGCTGACTGAAGAACTTTGATCGCAGCTTCCGTGATTGGGTCCCCCGAGGGAGGATCTCCACTCTTGGCCTTTGCTGCTGGGGGAGTATCTCCACCCTCGCTTTGCCCTGTACTTCTTTTCTTGGAAGGAGGAGGAGGGGGAGTGACTCCACCCTTTCCGCTTCCCAGCTCTTCCTGTCCACCAGTACCTTTAGAGACTCCTTTATATGCAGGATAGCTTTCGCCGTGAGCACGAGCGGAGCGCCTCCACTGGCGCAGGAAATTGCGATACGTGACATGCGGAAGTTGTTCACGTATCCGTCGCTGGCAGAATTCCTCGTACTCCGCTTGAAACGAGGGATCCTGTGTTGACTCAGGTCTGGACATGATGCTGAGTCTTGAGAGAAAGCTGCGGTTGTTGGCTCAAGCTGGCTTCTAAGCAGGCAGCTGGGCCTAGGCCACTGAGCTCCAGGCCACCACGAGGAGACCTGCATCACGGATGGTGGATTGCTGTTGGCTCAGTGTGGCTCAGTGCAGGCAGAATTATTGCAGGCAGCGACTCAAAGCTTTTAAAAACCCCTAGGGAGAGACTCCACCAGCTGTACACCCCTCGTTGGGGGAGAAGCTCCACCAACTAGGGGAGAAGCTCCACCTGTGACTCTTTACTAGTTCAAAAACCCCTGGGGAGTAACTCCGCCAGCTCTACGCCTAACGAGGGAGAAACTCCTCTATTTGTTACAGGAGCTCTTGCTTAGGGAGCATCTCCTCTTCTCACTTGGCTCAGGAAGTGGCGGCCATGAGGTGATTGTAAGATACCTCCCACGTCGCCGAGGCCAGGTTAAGTTTGCCGTCTTCAGC